AGCCCCAAGAATCACTGACATTTATGGGAAAGTAAAGGAAAAGAGGCTATCACTGGAGACGGAAGGGAGCAGACAGGTGGGAGGGAAGTGGGAGACAGTGCGTCACAGAAGCCCCTGGAGGAAAGGGTTTCAAGAAGCAGAAAGCAGTCAGTGGCAAAGCCACAGAGAGGCCCAGCAGGTCCAAGGCTGAAGATGTCCACTGCTTCAGCCACAAGGAGCAGCTTTACTGAAATGAGGAGACATCTGGCCGAGACAGGGAGGAAATGCAGACCGCTGGGGTCTTTGTGTTTCAGGATTGGAAGTGGCCACTGACACGAAGTTTCCCAGGTGGCAGGAGGGAGTTCAGAGCTCAGCTGGAGAGAAAGGTGGTGGCAGAGGCTGGCCCCTCTGCAGGGGTGGGGAGGTAAGAAATGGAGTGCCATGGTGGCAGGTGCAGTAGTCATCACACGCCTCACCACTGTCCCCTCCAACCCCCCTCAGGGCCTTCCTGTCCCCCGTTGCCCTATGCACCTTGAACACCCGTGGGCCCACCTGTAAGGAGCACTTGGTACTGGAAGAGGCGCCGCACCACCCTCAGCAGCTGGTGCTTCATGGTCTGGCCGCCTCCTGGCAGACTCTGCTGCTCTCCAGAGAGGGGAGGAGAAAACTCCATCAGAGACGCCTGCATCACAGTGTCTTACCTATGCTGTCCCATCTACACCTCTTCCTGGCCAAGCTGAGCTGCTCCCCCATCTTCAAAACCAGCTTCCCTCCTCCAGGAAGCCCTCCTGGATTAGCTCCACCCTGCTGCGACTGTTCATTCCTTTAGGCTCACAGTCGGGGCTATACTCAGGAACCTGCCTCTCCTAGTCTCTGCTTTGCTCCTAATCTTGGTGACAGAAAAAAGCCCCCCTTTTTCTGCCTAGGACTGAGTCTCCAGTGTTGTTAACTGCACTGGTCATCCCAACGGCTGGTGTCCTAGCTCAGTTCATGCTTTTCAACTGGGACAGGAGAACTCCCCAGGAGCCTTCCTGTGGCTGGGGCTCACTGTATTGTTATCTACTGCCCAGAGGCGAATGTTCTGGGTTCAGGTTTTTCCCTCCTGATGGGTCACCTTCTCATCCCTCTGGCCAGGTCTTCCCCTTCTGCTCCCCAACCTCAGACCTACCAAGATGTCCCACTGACATGCGTTAAGCCTTTCAGTGCCCACCCTCACCCCTGCACTCTTACAGCAGGGTCTCAGAGGACCAAGGGACCCACCTCAAATTCCCGGACAGTCGCTGCCAGCCGGGGAGAGTGCAGGCAGTTCTCACCAAGCAGACCCAGGTACCTGTCAAACTGCAGGATGTGGGCAGCGTGGTGGTCAAACCCCTGCTCCCGGGCCAGGAAGACATCGGCCACCTTCTGCTGGCTCTCCCTGCAGCCAGGGAGGGGGATGGGATAGTGAGAACTCAGCCTTGTGACTAGCATAGGGTTAGCAGGGGGTGCTGGAGTCACATCCCTGGGTGTGGAGCCTGCTGGACCCTATACAGTTGTTTGTTTTTGGGCAAATGACTTAACTCTTCTGTGTTTCGGCCTCACGTCCATCAGGCGGAGACACCATCATATCTGGTGATATTTCTATCCCTCTCCATCCCCCCC